ACATATACATACATTAATTTATTTCAAACTGAAAAATGTATGCCTAATCTATTTTAAGATGGTCCTAGTGGTAAAATCATTTGATTTCTTAAAGACTTAGAAATATTTTATCCTGAGCAATGGAGCCAGTAAATGAAAAAATTGAACTTATCCAAAGTCCATTAACTATGTAGTATAACTCTATATAATTATAGAAACATTTAAATATGTTTAATAGTCAAATTTAATATATGTTTTGATATCAAAGTAGCTCCAAAGACTTTTCTCTCCCCTTTTTACACAGCATGCGTGAAACTGAGAAACTCTGAAATAAAATTAGAGTCCCACATTGCTGTATATGAAGTCCATTTTTGTAAAAGTATTCACGAGTGAACCAAACTTTAAGATGTTTCTCCTCTTCTAGGAAACATAACATTAAAAGAAGACCATTCTTTTTGTCTTTTATCATCACATAACCCTGACCTGTAAAATTCAGCAAGGAAAATATTGACATACTTCTATCTTTTCTATCTTTCAACACACCATCTGAACTCAAGATTCATGAAAGCCTTTACTAGAGATAAGATATATTCATGTTGTGTTGCTTAATAACTGCATTTTGAAAAATATATCATTTTATGAACACCGTGCAGCATACATACATAAACTAAGGGATAACCAAGGATATAATCTTAGAGTATGCAGTACATGAAGTCCATTAAATGAAATGTTGTTATCCGCTGCATGACTGCATAAGAATTCAAAAATAGATTTTCAGACTTGGGGGAGAGAGAAGAAGGCCACAGCAGCAAGCAAGCCCAGTCTGGGAACCAGCACCATGCAGGGGCCACAGCCAGACCCCAGCCCCTCCCTGAGTGTGGGCCGGCAAACAAGAAGTTCAAATCACCCCCTACACACACACTTGCTGCCCTCTCATAAACGACCAGCTTATCTAGAGAAAAACAGGCTGTGATAATAGCTATCGAGGTGAAATGCAATTGGATGCCTGTGGTGCTTTGGTGTTGCACTGACATTGCAGGTCTAGGGCCAGCGATCTGATCATAGGTTCACAGGATAGCGTATCGCAGTGTGGTATTTAGAGGGACTCTCCTTCTGTAGACATTGTTGATTCCCTATAGTCTTGTTTTGAAGTTCTATATCATGTCCATTGTTCAGTTGAATTGGGTTTATTCTCTTTTGTTTTGTTTGATTACATTAAATCTAATGGCAGGAGCAGCTATTTCAAAGATAGCAAAATAATATTGTGGCAGCAATTTGGATTTACTATTGGCTTGCTTTGAAGTCCTTTATTGCATTCATTGTTTTGTTTTTATTTTTTCTATTCCATTCTGCTCTGTTTGGTTTTCACCATGTCCAAAATAATCTGCAGCTATTTTGAAGACATCAAAAGGCGTATGGTTAACTATTGTTGATTTCATAATGTTTTGAAGACCTGCATCTCTTACACTGGTTTATTTTGATTGGTTTTATTCTGTTTTATCCTCTTTAAAAAAGAATTTAAAGACGGGTAGGAGCTCAACAATAAGCTCATCCATCTGTATCTTACCTGCTCATTTACCCTGTTTTCTTATACACAGGATGGGAATTACATTAAGCCTGCTTTATCAATTGGTATGATGATTCACACAATAAATCATATAGTATTATATCTATCACATAGTGTTAGTTTTCATTCCTTTATTACATGAGGAAAACTAATTTAAATATGACAAAAGAAATTACCTTCACTGAACACTTAATATTATCCCACATGATGCATGACAATATAACATGCACTGCATAATTTAACCTTGCTAACTCATTTTACCAATAAGACAATGAAGGGCTAAAGTTCTGTGGTCTTGAATATTTAAAGGATCCTATCTATTTTGTTTGAACAACTCCTGGTTTAAAAAGAATATTCACATAAAAAGCATATCTTACTGTCTACATTAAAAATAAGAATTTGGAAAAATTTCTATTATCATAGATATTACCAGATTACATATATTTTTCACAAATATTTGTTGAAAATATTGCATAGGATACTGCAAGAGATAATTATACAAATGAGTAAGTGATTATCTATGTCTATTTTAATCAATGTATATTTGATTTTATCCTACTTCTAATTAATATACATAATTTGATTGGTTTACTTCTGCCATGTGCATTTCATTTATAAATTTAGGAATAATTTATTTGTTTATTTTGTTGTTTTGACATGGGCTTTTCCTATATATTGTAGGTTGGCCTTGAACTTACTAGGTAGTCCAGGTTGGCCTTGAATTTGAGGCGATCTTCCAATTTTAACATAATTAGGAAAAAGGGCTCTCTAAGTCTGTTTTTAACAGAATACCACAGACTGGCTGACTAAATACCAAAAGTTTGTTTGATGCACAGTTCTGGAGGCTACTCTGAGACCAAGATGTCACATCTGGCAAGAGCCACCACCTTGTGGAAGGCATCACAGTGCTAGACAAACTCCAAGAGACAGAGAAGGAAGCTGAGCTCATTCTCATAAGATGTGATAATGAACTCACTTCCATGGTTACAGAATTAACCCATTTTGAGGGCAGAGCTTACATGTATTGATCATCTGTTAAGTCATCTCTTAAGTCATCTCTTAATGTTGTTGCCCTGGGGATTAAATGTCCAACACATGAACTTGAAGAACACCAAGAACCATGAAATATGCAAATCCTCCACCAACTACAGGTGCTTCTCAATTATAGGATATCCTAAGAAACCCATTGATTAAACCCACTTAAGTTGAAAATATGCCAAAAATGAATTTAAGGCAACATCTAGAGCAATAAACTTTAGCCTTGCCTGCCCTAAACATATCAAAAACATTTACAAAAGCCTGAAGTTGGGAAGCACCATTCAATAAAAGGCCTATTTTGTAATAAAGTATTGAATACCTTGTCATTTATTTAGTTCAGTGCACTGCATTGAACTCTCCTGCCCATTTAGCTGGGTGATCATGCGGTAAACTGGAAGCTGTGATCTCTGCTGCTGCTCAGCACCCAGAAAGAGTATGGCGCTGTACATCACCACCTCCGCAAAAGGACGCAATGCAAAACAGTTTCTGGTAAATGCCTTTCCTGTTTGCACAATTGTGAAGTGGAGCAATCATATACAAGGATGATAACAATCATCCATATAAATATTTGTAAAAATAAACTAAATATATATGAATTCTGATAAACACCAAAGCTTAAATACCAAAGCTTAATATCAAATTTTAATATGAATGCAATCTCATATGTGTACTTGTGGATATATTTTTGTAAAGTTGAAGCTTTTTTGACTTGGAAATTGTTTGATAAGTTTGATTATTAAATGTTTATTTTCATTAGATTATATATATAGTATGATCCAATATTATAATATATATGCCTAAGTTGTAAATTTTGGGTATCTGTTCCAAAGAAAGAGCATTTGAGAAAAATGAAAAAATTCACAAACTTCCTAAAAATGAGAAATTCCAGCAGTAATGAGTTAGGATCGTAACCCAAATAAAATACAATAGCCAAGTTTAAAATAGTTTTCACTGAAAATCTACAATCTGCTTAATTTGTAAAATGAGCCCAAAATACTGCCCTAATCTCTAAAAAGCAACACTTAACATTAAAAGAAATTCTGAATTCAATATCCATGCAAAATTTGCCAAAAGAAAAATTTTAAATGCAGCCAAAAGTTTGATAACAATATATGTTCAGATATAGTATGTATTTATTATTGACTTATTTTTAAAAGGGAAAATTGAAATCTGTGGTACATTAGTAGTCAACTGTCACCACAGAAAAATTTTTTCCATAAAATATGTGTAAGTAAAAATGTTTCATATTTCATTAATGAATAATATTCATTGTAAAACAAATCTGATTTCAGTTTAGAGAACCTTTATTCTCTTAAACTCTAAATTATCAGGAATTTGTAGTTAGTATGTGCATATCTTTTCAGTTTTATACATAAATATGGTGTCACAAGGATGTGTGTCTTGCAAAATTTGTGTACATCTATATTGCAATGTTTTATATAGGCAAGATATATGTGTGTAGATATGTTAAACTAAAATAATCACATAAGATATAGGTATATAGAGATATGTTTATCAGTCTTTCCTGTATATCTGTCATCATTTAATACTATCAAAGGAAAAGATGCTGCATCAAACAAAAGTTCTTAATCTGGACACATGGCTCCTTAGGTTTCCATTGATTGGGGCTTCAAAGATCTATAAAAATCTTCAAAAATATATAGAACCTGTGAATAATAATTTTATGAGTTTGTTATACATGAATCTTCAGCTTGCCCAAGGGTTAATAATAAACATTCAAACTATGGCTGAATAGACGTGGGGTAGAGAAGTGTACACACCACGGTATAGTATCCGGTTTTACAACACAGCTTTTCCACACGGCTAGATAATCTTTAAGTTATTTGATAGTTTTGAGCTTCACTTTACTAATCTATAAAACATAGATAATAGCAATATATTTCACAGTTGAATTTGCAGTGAAGTCAATAAAGCCTACATTTGAGGCCCTACCATTGTTTTCATTTAATTTGCAAAATCGTGTATTCCTAAAAAAAAATAAAAAATAAATCATGTACTCCTTTAAATATAGATGCTCGATGAATTGGATAATTTCACATCATGTCAAAATATGATCTTTCTCTTGTTTGCCCTGTGATTATTCTGAAGACAAAGTTAAACAATAAACATATGGATCCTCCACTATGCCTAAAACACAGAAAATATTAAATTATTGTTATCAAACATGGTAAATAATTTGATTGTGTCTAGTTTTTTAATTGCTATACAAAACTGAATTGTTCCCATCTGAAGAGTATGAATTAGTTATTTAAAGAGGACATTAATATACTAACAGACATCTCAGTAAATTGGGAAAAAAGAAAAGATTTGGGAAAAGGTATTAGACATTGATGCATCCTGAAGAAGAGGTAGACTTTAGTATTCAATCAGGATCATGATTGCTGACACAATTCAGTATTTTTGCTGACACAGATCAGGACATTTATTTAGAAAAAATATGTGATAACATGCAGAGAAAAATTGCCTAAAAGAGATCCCACACACTTGTCAGCTGGGTATTGCAAGATGGAATGAGAACACAAAAGAATTTTACAATTCTTATCACATCTATACAGAATCAAGCCAATTGTTAAGGATTTAACAATGAATACAAATATGGACATGCTAGTTTCTGAGTCACTGTTTTGCAATTTGAAATCTGTTTTACATTCATAAGGTAAGCCATTTGATGGGATACTTATTTACAATTCATAATAACAAATGCCATCATGTTTTAATCATATATGGTACCTAATGTTAACAGACATAAACTATTTCTATAAACTATGACTAATCACACAAAATGCAACAATAAATAGTTTTGATATATGATTAAGCTGTACAAGATTATACATTGAATTTTCTTATATAATGTATACTAGTTATGAATAAATTTTGTCCACCAGAAAAATATGATTCATATTTCAAATAATATGGGCTTGAATATTATGTCTCATTGAATCAGTGTATCAATAAAATTATTTTATGCCTTAAAATAAGATGAATTTAAGGTAAATATACTACAATTTGCTCCAAAAAAAGCCGAAACCTTAAAGCAATATTGATTTATATACATATTAAATTGCTCTTGAGTCACTTTTAATGAGATGCATGTGTGTCTCTGACTATACAGTGTTATAATGTAAAGTTCTGCTCAGAAAAAAAAAACTTCTTAACTTTTTCGAATCAGTCATGAAATAGTCTAATGAATTAGCTGGGCAACAGTAAAAGTGGACCAATTAATTCTGCTCTGCTTAATAGGAACCAAAAATTGGTCTATTCTTTTCAAGTAGTCAGTGGAATCATCGAAATCACAGCGCCATTTCCTGCTTGGTCCCCTGTCCGTTTAGTAAGACAGAATTGGTCACCAGGTTCTTGGTATTGCTTTTCAGAGATGTCATCCGCACTGCTGAAGAGCTGAGGAGGTAACTGGTGGCTCTCTCTGGATAGGATTTCTTTCCACAACACAGCTGGCTGTTGAAATGCTTCCGGAAGCTTTCACTGAGTAGATAAAGAGCAAATGGATTGACGCAAGAATTGCAAAAACTCAGAACTCGGGCAACCAAGGTGACAATCATGTGGCCTAGTGATGGATCAATCTCCTTGTAATGGAAAGATCGATACATGTAGAGGATGTGATTTGGAAACCAACAGAAGATAAAGCAGCCCACGAAGACCAGGACAATTTTAGCCAAGCGTTTTCTTGTTTCCATCTGTAAAGAGAAGTAAATGATTCCATTGCTTAAAATATTTGGATCCAGCCACATCCAAAACTTATCATGTCACAATAAGAAAATAATGAATTATCTGTCTTGGATGTATTTTCATGAAAATACATCCAAGACAGATAATTCATTATTTTCCTTAAAAAATGATTATGTTAATAGCTTGATGGAACCTATTTTAAACTATATAATAGTTTGCCCAGGATTGGATTGTAAATTATTAATAAGTGGCTATTTTCATGTTAGACCTTGTCAAATTTTAAATCTATTTTTCTCTTGCTTAAAGTTTGATTGTATTCAGTAGAAATAAAAATAATTTCCATGTGAATTAAGCATACCAACTCAGTCAACCAGAACATATTCATGCTTAAGTTTGTTTTGTTTTGTTTTGTTTTGTTTTGTTTTTAAATCAGGATATTTTAAATAGAATGGATCTGTTAAAACAGAGCTTAATTTTCAAGCCTAACTACACACACCCACACAGTCACACACACACATACACACACAGCACTCGAGATTTAAATTCGTGACTCATTTAAACCAAAAGAAGCTGTCAGAACTAAATTCTGTTAATATTACTATGCTGGATTACTTTTACACATAAAAATACATTTTTATTTTTTTCATAAAATTTGCATACTGTGCTTGGTGACTTGTAAGATGACTTTTAGGGATTTGAGTGACAAAATTCAAATACTCAATGTTAATGATCCAATAATACTTCTAACATTTATAGTCCAAGATTTAGCTTATATTTTCCAAGTATGCTTAAATATTCACATAAAGCAACATAAATGTTAAACTGTAATGCCAAAATGATTACTAGTAGTAATCATTGTGATATTTTCTGAGATCATCATGTAGAATATTCCAGAAAAGACTGGAAAAGTCTGAAGATTGGACCTAGCTGATGTAGTAAGTCGATGTACCCAGTGAAGTAAGTCATACATCCAGCAATATTAAGGTGGTCACTTGGGAAATCTGTTCATCACTCAAAAGTGTCCTCCTTCTGCAGGTGAAGCATCCTTGTGGGAATTTCACACCAGTCTATAGTTGGTGACCCCAACATACAGTCAGGTTGGTTGCTTTTGAATGACTTCATCACAGATGTCAAGACCCATTTCCAGCCAGAGTTTATAAATACCAAAGAGAATTTTTAAAAAATAAAACAGAACCAATGCCATGAGGGAGAAAAGTAAGAGAAAGAATTCAACTTTAGAAGCCAATAGCCAATATTTAAATATCTGAATTGAATTACAAGGTTCTATGTTTTTTTTAAAAAAAACTGTTTATATACAGAAATAGCATAATGAGCCTATAAGCTGAGCATTTGACTGCACTAATGCATGCCAGATATTTGAGAATAAATCCATTAATTTATCAAAAAATCTCTTTGAAGATTTAATGACTTTTTAAAATCTTTAAAGTAGGTGTGGAGCTTTGGTGTCTATGGTTTTCAATTAAGGGAGGTTACCTTCCATGCGAGAAAACTTTACCAGGTTCTGCAGTTGTTAAAAGGCCCAAAGGTGCAGAATCTTACTCAGTTTTTTTCTTTGCATTAAGTTAGATAACTCTCGCTTCTCTGTACCAACAGAGCCCTTTAGAAGCTCTATGCTAGAAATACACAAGTGAACAACCACATATATTCCCATAAAAGCACTATTTGTATCCATTTGTAAATCAACACAATTAGTTTTACCTGAAATTAATATTGCCAATTTTTTAAACAAGGAAAAATATATAATCGGTGTATAATCTCTATAGGCAAAGTTATTTGCAGTAGGCTACCAACCCACTTTGGGATCACACTTACTCAATTTCTTTTGTTTACTTTTCCCAGGACCTCCCTTTCTGGTATTCTATCAAAGCTCCTATCCCAAGTCCCAGGCAATACCCTGACATGTTTTTTTCCTGCATTCTTCTACCATACTCCATTATTCTTAATAAATAAGAAAACCAACAATGATTACATAAATTTATGTTCAGTATGTGAAAATTTCTGGTTTATGATGTTGATCTTTGCCTACACACGTGCATATGAAGAAAAGCCTTCAGATAAATTTCTATTGAAGAAGTTCCAGGTCTCGATCTAGGCCCAAATATCAGATAAACTATCATCTGGACCTTTGTGGGACTAGGAACCACATATTAGAAGCCTTTCAACATTCCTTTGAATTAAAACTAATGCAAGCCCAATGCTCCTCATCAGTCATAGGGTAGAAAGTCCAAGAAATAGACAACAAGATTCCAATTACTATTTCTAAGAAGTGCATTCACAACACACACACACACACACACACACACACACACACACACACACAGACACACACACACACACCATTTCCAAGCTTACCTGTTTTTTGGTATGTTCATTATATTCCCCAGGAAGATTATGTGCACTTTTAATTAAAGTCTTGGCAATGTGGTAATAATAAATGCTAATAATAGTTAGTGGTATGAGGAAATAGACCAAAAAAATGAGCACTGAATGAATCTTTGGATGTAATTCATTCGTCTGAGGATAAGGTATGCATGCTGTGAAGCTGCTATTATCCAAGCTTCCAATATGTGCCACTTCTGAAAACACAGCTTCAGGAACTGCCAGCAGCACGGAGACCACCCAGATGCCCACAGCCTTCACACAAGTCCACATCACCGCACCTGGCATCTGCATGTCCATGGGGTTGACGATGGCCCTGTACCTAGGAAGACAACACGTCCCAAGTTACTCTTTGGAAAAGAAAGTAAAAGAGAAAGCTTACTTGTAAGGGAAACACCAGCACTTTCTTATTCCCTGGTCTTTTTGTAGACTACAAAAGACCTCACATTCCTGAGATCTCTCTGCCTATAGGTAAATAATTTCACCGCTTTTGAACAGAAAATACAAGAAGAGAGAGGGGAAAAAATATAAATTAGCATTGCCCAAATTTTAGTCATTTGCTTACCTTTTGCTTAGATTGTCTATCTAAATCTGCACACACTAATAAATATCATTTTTTGAATTTTTATTTAAGTAATTTTGTTGACAAAAACATCATCAGTATCATAATCACTGTGAACAAACAATATGTAAAATATTAGAAATTCACAATAAAACACAGTTAAATTCTAATGACAGCCTTCAACATATTCTGAGCTTGATACCTCCTGCTTTCCTAACTATATCAACAAATCTTCGGATATGAATCCAAATTGGAATTTTCATAATAACTGGAAATGAAACAGTATTAAGAGCAAAGGACCTGCACTCCAGGACAGAAATTTTAATCTAAAATTCTACAGGTAACACAGTCACACATTATTAAGAAATGTAATAAAGGTGTAGACAACAAAACTTCTACACAATGATATTTATTTATATTTGTCTTCAACTAGGTAACAAAATAAAGTCAGTCAAAATTGAGATATGTCCTCTCTGATATCTTTGTGAAAATTATTTATCTGGCTTTTTCTTCATTTGTAAGGTGGGAACATAAAATTTTATTCTTCAAGTTTTATATGTGTGTGTGTGTGTGTGTGTGAAAAAGTGCAAACATTTTATGCTCCAATTTTTTATATATAAGAAAAAGTTTAGAAGATCCTCACTAAAGACATCATCCTATGCTTACAAACACTCAAACTTATCTAATGTTCTACAAATTCAGAATATATTTTGAGACAGTGTCTCACTATGTAGTCCAGCCTGACCTTGAACTCACTATGTAGCCCAGGCTGACCTTGAGCACGCAGCAATACTCCCACCTCAGCTTCCTGAGTGCTCTCATTAAAAGCATGTGCCACCATGCCTGGCAGAATTTGGAATATTTCAAGCCACCAGACACCAGTTAAGGTCTTTTTCTGTGAATCTGTGAAAATTTTTCCTATTTCCTCTAGAAATGCACAGCTCATCACCTCACCCTAACTCTTTCCTAATCTCTCTCTCCTGATTTGCTCCCAGTGTTGTTTTCAGACCTTCCATGGAGAATGGAAGTTCATATTTTGGTCTAGGAGGACTTCCCTTATGGAACAGGAAATATATACAGAATAAAGAAGAGGACAGAAAGGGGTTCAATGTTAGATTCAGCGTGGGCAACGCATCACCTCCTAGGTTTCCCATGTGGTAAAACTCAGTGGGCAGGTGTCACCTCCCTGATTATTAATTGCATATTCTTAGGAAAATGAAACAACAATTGGAATAAATGAGCTAGAATACAGTATTTTGATTTCTAATTAGACTAAAGTACTCAGTTTTTAAAAAATCTGAGAGCTTGAGTTTTGTAAATAAAAATAGAAGACCCCATTGCACCTCATGGTCTATTCATGAATTAGAATAAATTCCATATCATGGTCTTCATCTTTCACAAAAAAATGGTTCTATTATCCACTGTTTTTGAATAAATATAAATATTAACTAATGACATCCTTTTACATTAGCTAAAAATTCTTCTCTCTACTTACGATCACTCCTTCCCCAATGCCAAAAATCCTGATTTCATCATTTATATTGTGTTTATGTACAGTTAACTTATAATTATTTTGACTAAAATGTTATGTACCATACAGTTCAGCAATATATTAAGATGATGTTCTTATAAACATGTTTGATTTTCTAAGAGTCAATACTTATTTTTTTATTTGAATAATTTTCCATCTACTTGAATTTATTTTGTTTTGAAATGTTTCTTTACCACCAACCTGGATAATTAGAACCTCAGTTCTCGACTCTCAGTGGTTCACCAGGTGTGGAGGTACACACCTGTAACTCCAGCACTCAGGAGGCTGAGGGAGGGGCTTGCTGTGAGTTCAAGGCTAGTCCAGGCTACAAAGTGAGCTCAAGCCCAGCCTGAACTGCATAGCCAAGCCCTGTTTCAAAAAGACAAGAAAAAAATTTTAATGAATCTCGGTGTGTCTTTTTTAGTTTCATAGTTACAAAATACTTCTACAACTTCTTGATTTTACTTACTAATGCAATTCGTTTTCTCTTTCATTCTTTTTACTAATGTTTTATTTCTGTTATGATGCTTTTGTTTTCTAAAACATTTTTCTTCCTTTCAAATCATTCCTTTTTCATAGGATTATAATCCTATATTATGTGTGTATATTCTTAGCACATTAGCTATGGAACTAATAGAGAAAAAAATTAATCTTCTCTGTTAGCATAGTTCCAGGTTTTATGGGCTTGGACTATTTGTACTGGAATCTCTTCCATAAGGTTAGCTAATTTTTCATTGACAACTTCTAATTAAAAGCAAAGTACTAAAATCTTTTTTATTTTTTTATGTTCATGTTTATAAAGAAAGTAAATAGGTGATTACTAACAATAGATAAATTATCAAGAAAAATTTTAAATTGTCAAAAATCACAAAAGGCACTCTGAGATTCTTCCATGTTTTTACAAAGCAAAGGAAAATGTAACTTATCTGCCCAATATGTTAGCAAATACTATTCCAGCTATTAAGAGATGCTTAGAACTACTTTACTACTTGAGACTACTATAACAAAATACCCAAGACTGGATGCCTTATGAATATGATACATTTATTTTTTATGATCATGGAGAATAGAAAATTCAAGATCAAGGTGCTAGTAGATTTGATGTCTCATGAAGGTCTCATTATGATACACAGACAGAACCTTCTGGCTAACTCTCCATGCAATGGAATCGGCAAGGCCTTCTTGTAGTTTATTTCTGAAGGCACTAATCTCATTCATAAGGGTCCCACTCCTATGACTAATTACTTTCCAAAAATCTCCACTACCTAAGAATATCATCTTGGGGTTAGGACTTAAAATTATGAATTTGCAGAGAACACAAACATTCAGACCATAGTAAGCAGAATAGGCAATATAATAACCATAAACAATATTGGGAAATTTCAAATAATAAACTTTGATAAGATTTCCAGCAACAGATACAAATTTTTTGGGCTAGGTAAAACAAGAAACTTAGTAGGAGAGTAAGAAAGGAATAAGAAAGACCTCATCAACAGGAAAGATCTTGAGCTACTCTATTGAAAATGGGACAAAACTCAGAATACATATTTGAGGAAAAGGGAATTACTAAAAATTCTGCAAAACCAGAAATTATAGTTGGACATAAGGTTACTAAAGTGTCAATATTGGTACTGAAACATAGCTTACAATTATCCAGTATGTTACACACTAACGTGTATTGTATGTGCACCTTTAAAAGGATATAAAGCAGAAAGTTAAGTCTCCTAGGGCCTATTAAGTGGGAATATTTTATCATTTTTCTTTCAAATATTTACATAAAATGTGAGAGGCACCTCTTAGCATTAAACCTCTTTCACTTGACACTGTGGCATAACAGGTTACATTTGAATATTGTAACACAAAAAAATAATCAAAGGCAAAAAGAAGCATATCACTATTCATGTACTAAGTATAAATAATTAGATACATTTCTCCATCAACTCCTTTTTGAATCACGCTTATGACATCTGGGTATGGCCTAGATTTCATTTCAAATGATAAATATATTTAACCATAATACAAAATGAAATAAAACATGAGATAACTTTTCCTTTTAGAAAGTCATCACATCTCAAAAGATCCCTCTGCACAAACATTTTTAATTATAGTACCCATACTTTTTCCTTGTCATACTTTATTGTATCATGCAAGGAATAAGCCAGAAAAAAGAATCCAAGTATAAAATATATGCAAACAGAAGAAGTCTTGCTTATTATTGTATCTCTGGTTCACAACATAATGCCTGGTATGTTCTCAACAAATGGTTGTTGAACTAATGAAGAAAAATATGGTCTGAGTACAAAGAGAACAGTTGTTAAAAGAAATTGTGGTTGAATGGGGTAGGAGTTTTAGATACTAGGCTGAAGCTGAGAAGATAATAAGAAAAGGAGACAGACTCTAGTGATGCTCAATAGACATCAATTTTCAAAATCACCTAGAGAAAAGAAGAGAAAGATAAATAGTAGTGTTAGATTATTTCCATATTCCATGGATTATTGGATTATTTCCATATTCAATAAAATGAGATATATTTTATGATATAAAATGCAATGTTCTGCATTGACAAAAGTCTTCAGGTGATGCTGAATACAAGCTGAATTTAGAAACAGTTATTCAAGAGAACTGAGTACAGCTGTGCTCATCTTTGCAACAAGCTTGCTATATATTATGCAAGGCAATGGGTGCATTTTCAGTACCTGCATAAAAAATATCTGAAATCCAGAAACCATTCAGTATTTAAAGAATCAGCTTCTCCCCTCTTACAATGTACCATGCCATGTTGAAGACATTATTCTTGGTTTGCAAGGAGAAAAGCACTGCTGTGTGATTTGCACTGTTTTTGTCATCTTTCTCCAAGTGAAACATCTGGAAATAACAGGTGCAGAGTTAGCATCCAGGTGTCGTAAATCTAGCTTGGAGCATTCCCTCCTTTTTTTGGCGTGTGCCCAACAGGTTTCACACTAAGGAATACCAATAGTGGTCAAAACCCACAAAGTAGTATCTAAAGAATAGCAATATTACAAACGCTACAAGAATTACACATCACTTAGGTCAAAATGTGGTGTTCCTAAGGGGAAGAAAAAGGGAAATAAGCTAAAAATGGTTGAGATCGAGAAAGGCATCTAACATATTGCAATCAAGCACTACAACCTTCATTTAATAATAAATCAATAAATTATGTAAAGAATCATAATTCACTGCTTCTACGTTAGGTAAATATAACAATGAATGCTTATTATGGAAAACAAGTTTATCTTTTGGAACCTGCTACCAGAAAGTTTTCAGAAAACTTTACTATTCACCTTGTGAAGGTAGGGGTTATCTTATATTTTTCAACTTTTAATTTTTTTTTAATCCCTGGTTTCCTCTGTGTTTTTCATTCCTATTACACGTACTTGTATCTCTATTTTTTAGCTATCTTAAATTTTGAATAATTTGAAAATAATCAAGGGTGACTAGAGCTCAAAAGGAGTAGAAGGGGCAACACGCCTTTATCACTGCGAGTAAAACTATCAAAGCTGTATTCACTAAGCACATAATATTAATATAAAATCAAGCATGTACATAAATATATGAGGACTATCATTGTTCCCATATTGATTGAGGTACATTTTATTTGTATATGTCCATTCCAATATATTAAGAAAATTTGTGTGAAATAAATCTGTGGATCTTGCTAATAATGTCATGTTTTAAAAATTAAAGCATAGTGATGGTAATTTGACTATTATGAAAACTAACCATTCAGTTTTATTCTAGTCACTAAATGAAATTTTTTAGCTTTCTAATTAAAATGAGTCCCTAAAGCAGAAAAGCTAAAATTTAAAAGTCACATTTTAGCTTTAGAATTCAAAGAAAAGGCTGATAGGAATAGTGCCACATACACAAAATGAGATGCATAATTCACATGAAAGCCACCTAATTTTCTAGGAGGTAGTTTTGGAGAGTGCATTATATAAACTAAAGTGAATAAATCACAGCTATTTACTAAAGTAAGTAACCTCTCCACTGAACATAGTCAATCCTTCAACAAAGGTTAGCTCTTCAAAACCAAAGCAACATAAGACTGGTCTTACAAACACCAGGACCTTTGGATCCAGACTCATTTTTCATTAATAATTTGTACATTAAAGAGAATGAGCACCACCTTAATTATTCAAGTTTAATTGTTTATCTAAATAGCTTGCCACCCCTCCATTCCCAGAGAAATTAAGCCACAGCTCCGTAAAATGGTGCCTAATTGTATATATTTCCTGCAATCCTACGCAGACACTAATACCACACACACACACACACACACACACACACACACACACAGAGAGAGAGAGAGAGAGAGAGAGAGAGAGAGAGAGAGAGAGAAACTACCCAGGAGCAGGACTACAGGCAGGTTGGATCAGTGGTACTGGACGCTGAGTTACCGGCCTGGGTCTTCTCCTAGCCTTTCCAGGAGGATTTACTTTCCCTGAGCTTCAGTATCAATACCTGAAAAATCACAACGTTGTGCAAGTTGAACTTTTAGGTAGAATTATGTATTTCACATTGCTAGCATAGTGATAGACAGATCCGACATTAACATTGCACTTTTACAGCATGATTTGAAGAGTTAGTTCCTACCTGTGAGAGGAAAAAAGTAAAATATTGTTTGACTTCAGATATTAAACAAGAATAATGTCACTTATTTTCACTTCAATAAATAGTACTTTAGATGTGCAAAAGATGCTTCCTCTTATTTAGATAAAATTTTAAATCAAATATTTTCCTAATACCAGGGTGGAGACTGTTACCTTCGAGGGTGGTATCCTACTTTAGAAATAAAGTACACATGAAGGTTTCAGGCGCATGTGAAAAGATCCCACAACATACTTGTACCCTTGCGTATTCATTCTAAAGTTTTTCTTTAGAATCAATAACAAAGGCTCCCAAAGTGTTTCTGGGAATGGAGTGAGAGGGATGTACAATATTCAAATTAACACGGGTTTTTTTAAGCAATAAAATAACTTTCCAGTGAGTTGTCGATCTTCCCACACCCTTCCCGCTTTCCCCTCGGTCCCCGGGCGGGCGCAGGGCTCTCCAGGTGACCGTCCCCCTCCGCCGTCCTAGGCCGCCTGGTCCCCGCCCGGCTCACCTGTCGGCGCTGAGGGCCGTGAGCGTGAACACGGACACCCCCACGGAGGTGAGCTGGATGGCCGGGATCAGCTTGCAGCCCACCTTCCCGAACATCCACTCGTCGAAGAAGTAGCGCGAGGCGTCCACCGGCACGCAGGTCAGCAGCAGCAGCAGGTCGCCCGCGGCCAGGTTGGAGATGAAGATGTTGGGGACGCTCCGCATGGCGCGGCTGCAGATGAAGATCTTCACCAGCATGACGTTACCCAGCAAGCCCACCGCGATGATGAGCAGGTAGACGGACGGGATCACACAGCGGATCGCCAGCTCCGCCGAGGTCCGGTCGGAGCCGGCCAGGAAGTTCCTTCCGGATCCCTCGGGAAGGACACCGCTCTGGTTGCCGCCGACGGCGGGGGCGAGGCCGGGCAGAGAGCGGGGTGGCATGGTGCCCTCGCCCGAGGTCCCGCCGCGCGGTGCGGACGCCCGACAAGTGCGGCGCGCTACTTGGATTTAATCATTTTCCTTTCCGCCCTGGCAAGTTTTACTGCTCGCAGAAACAAGTCACACCGCTGCGTCCCAAACAGATTAGCACCTGGTGCCAAGCATGCCCACGCTCTGCTGCGCCGGTCTGCTGGGGTTATGGGTTCACTTTTTATAAGGAAAACAAAAAAGAGCTGTCGCGTCTGCCTTTGGGCTCCAACGGCTCAGCACCTCAGGCAAGCGCGGAGCCCTTTGGAAAACCACAATCTTCCCGGTAGAATTACTGCAAGTACCTGCCCGCGGGCTGCAGCCGGCCGAAGTCACCCGGCGCCGTGCAGCGGCCGCAGCTGAAACCCGGAGCTGCGCGGGGAGCCGAAGCGGTCCCGCAGCCGGCTCCGGTGCCCGCCGGTGCCTCAGTGTTGCCTGGCACTGGAGGCCGGCTGAGTCCTCTCTGCACCGTCCCCGGATACATCCACCCTCCGAGCGGGGGGAGGCGTGGCGGGGAGGGAGCGCGCAAGACGCTGGCGAGGCTTCGAAGGTCGGGGAGCTCAATGGGCAGGTCTCCAAGCGGAGTATTCAGTCTAGGAAGTGGGAGAGTGAAAAGGATTAAGGAAATGAAAGAAACCTTCTCTCCAGTCTTCTCTTGGTCTTGTCCCACAAAAGAGACGGGATCAAACTCTATGGTAAATGTTTGTTTTTAAAGTTTTATTACAGTAAAATAGACATTGCCATTAATTGTCTTAAAACACTCCACTCTTGATGCTCTCTTAGCCCATTATTCTTGACACTTTCCAAACAGATCGAGAAGCTCTCTTCCGTGAGCGTGTGCGCTAGATGTGATCAAACATATGGTGGCAACTGCTGCCAAGTGCCAGCCAATGAAAAGTAGGCACCTAAGAACCTTACAGTGTGTCATCACTCATCCTGCTCCTTAGGTCTGCCACCCTGGGGCTCTTGACTCCTCCAAAAGACAAAATGACCAAGAAAATCAAGTTTTCAGTCAAGTCAGGACATCAGAGCAGCCAAAACAGTGCAACAGTGTGCACACTTTTACAGGAAAGCAGACTTCCGGAACTGCCACGAGCATTGGTATAAGTGGGTTTCACAAGAGTATTCTGAAGGGGATTGCTGTCAAGGTGACTTTTACTGTAAAAAGCTTTTAAAATTCAAATACTGACCATATATTTTGATCACAGTGTATGGAAACTCCCATCTAGGCATAGTATTTTTATATTTATATTTCATTGAATTATAACACAAAAGCACACAATTCCTAAATGTATTGCTCAATCTCAACCACTACTCACAATGAGCAGTATAACCAGCAGCCTTCGAAGTAACCACTTTCCTGTCTGTTCTTTCATAAGTTACTTTGGTAGCTCTTGAATATCATATTTATACATTTCAGTCTCTTTCTTTCACTCAACATTGTATCTATAAGAAAATCATGCTTTTTGTGTAGTGTCTTTCACTTATCATTTGATAAAGACATTTGTATCTATGATTCCATTCTAGTGTTGATTGAAATTTGATGCTTCACAATTTTAGACAGTTTAGATAAGGTTTCCATGAAGACTCTTTTATTGTCTATTGGTGCATGTTTGAATAAATCCCAGGGGTGAATTTTCTAGTCACAGTGATATGTTCACCTGTATTAGAACTTATAATTTTCACTACGGTGAGTTGCCAACATTTTTTTCTTTTGGAAAATAGCTTCATAGCATCTATTAATGTTAAGTGTATGTTTGCCTACAGCAAATGCCACTGCTGAGTAGGCATTTGTTGTGGATTAAAAATTGATGGTCAGCTTAACACCCGCTGAATTAAATCAGCATGGTGTGAGCATAGATGGTCCACCTGAGGAAAGTTGCCATCATAAACAGAGACATGGAGAAGACAAGTGAGGTGTTGTGGGTTTCTCGAAGTATTGCTGTTTGAGCCATTGGTTCTCCTGGAGCCAACCTTGTAACTAGCTTTCCCAGTGTGAGTTCAACCATTGTAATCAAAAGAGCTCGGAACCTTGTTGGTGAGAGTGGCTGTGGTTCACTTTGGGGGAGCTCTGGTTCTTACATTGAGCATTGCTTCCTGGCTCCAGAGCAGAAGACCTGTGCTGTTTAATCTCCAGGATAAACTCATCACGCTGGCTTCCTGGCATGTACTGGACTGTGCTTATCATTGGAGGAGCTAGGGGCCTCCGTGTCACTGAGGATGGCTGTGGTACTTTTCAGGACAGCCCTGGTCTTTGTTGTGAGTGGGACTTCTCAACTCCACTGTAAAACCCTCGGACTACCAACACAGCTTCTTCACCCCACTGGCAAACTCTTTCTAGCTTCCACCGCTGACCTTTGGGCCTTCCAAGCACGGACCTGGAAAAAAACTGTTATGAGTCCTTCTCATGGGCTCTGGACCTCCAGTTGGACTCTTGGGAAGCATTGTCATGGGCTCTAGGTTTTCATCTGGACTCATGCAGAATATTGCTGTGGGATCCAGACCCGTGGCTGAATATATTGGGTCTTTAGTGTTGTGGACAGATTTCCTGCACTTTCTTGTGTTAAACTGTGGGTGATCATCACAAAAAATATTATAAATTCCATGTCGTGATTCTAATTATCCTGTTTACAATCTCTGACTATAACAACATTCAATAAAAACCTTATTTTACTTGAGACAGTATCTTATGTTTTGGCCACACTGCACTGGAATTCCTAAGCTCAAATGATCCTCCTGCCTCAGCCTTCTGAATAACACACTACATATGTGTGCCACTGTACCAGGCTTGATACATCGTTTTGTTTATTTACTTACTGACTGACTTACTTACTTACTTATCTTTTTAAGACAGGGTCTCCCTGTGTGGTTCAGGCTGGCCTTGGGCTCACTTTGTAGCTGAGGCTGGTCTCAACTTGCAATGATCCCCCTACCTCAGCCTCCCAAGTGCTGGGATTACAGGAGTGTGCCACCATCCAGCAATAAGACTTTAAATAGGATGCTCCTAAGAGTAAATAGTTTCCCCAGTGCCCACCGGGTAAGTCTAAAGTAAAAGATGGTCACATTTATTCAATTAGCTGTATGATTTAGCTCATAATTATTATGGAATAAAATCACATGATAACATGGAAATTAGCCAAATACTACCTGCAACGATCTATCCATAAGTAGCTCAAAGGCAGTCATGTCCAAAACCATTGACACATGAAGCAACTGTTCTAGATATCAACCACCAAGAACAGCATTTTATCAACTTAGTTGGATTAGACAAGCATTTCCAATGTAATTAACTCAGTTACAAATTTTTATTGCAATTTTCTTGATTTTTACTAATTAAAATGATCCATTATAAAGTTTAAAATGGCTAACTAGAATATTTATGTGCATGTATTTGAATATAAGACCATTCTATTTATATACTTTAAATACACACCAAGGAAATTAATTTTACATTTGAATTGAAATATGTCTCTAAAAATCTTATCTTCCAAGTTATTTAAGCTTTCCCTTGTAACAGTCTGTCTCCTTATGCAGCGTGAGCTTCTAAAGCAGTCTTCTAAACTGTGAAGGTTCTCCATTTGGTTGCTGTTGTTGTAGTTGTTGTTGTTGTTGTTGTGCCTATTGAAGACTGAATCCAAAGCTTTCATACTGAGCTACATGCTGAGCCCTTTGTTAATTTTAATTTTGAGACAGGGTCTCATTCAGTCACTAAATTGTGCAGGTTGGTCTCAAATTTGATTCTCCTGCCTTAGCTTCCCAGAAGTGCAGGGATCACAGGTATGTGCTGTCACGCCAGCTCAGGTCTCAACTTTCACACTACAATGATCTCAAGTTAATGTATCTTGTAGAAAAACACTTTGAAATCTGAATCATTTATAAATGTCTATATTCTCCTTTGCTCCTGCCTATATGATCTTAACCATTTAAGTGAGAAAATCATTTAGTCCAAAAATTAAATTAATAAATACCCAACTGGGTGACATTGAAGAAACAAGGCAACTATGTTGAATTATTTTCAATTCAAGTAACTCTGTTAGTGTTTGTTCAAAGCTTAGGTTCTTGGTAGTAAAGAATGTAGTTGCCATTTCAAATAATGATAATGTTATGTTTAGTTGAAATTGTCATAAAATTATTACTGTGTAACTATTAGAGACATCACAGCATTACATGTAAGAACATGAGTATTGGGGGCTGGGGATTTAGCTCAGCAGCATAAGCACCTGCCTTGCAAGCAGGCAGTCCTGAGTTCGATCCCTGGTACTGATAAAAAGTTAAAAAAAAAAAAAAAAGAACATGAGTATTTCTTCATTTTTCAATACACATCAGAAATAAATATGTACTCAAGATAAAGACTTCTTTTTCAGTGAACCATATGCTATATATAAGGTTCACATCCCGTTTAATGTCTCTAAACACTCTTTTCGGTAGGTTTTTAAGACTTAATTTTACACATAACACAACTAAGACTCATAGAAGCTAGATAACTTTCTTGATTTCAAAAAGACTTCACTAAAACCACTTTCTAAGCTTCCTTTAAATTCATAATCCCTTGAGCCTCATTATTTCCAGTTTTAAAAATTGTAAAGAAAAATGTGATTACTGTAAAATTGAAGGATATATTTTTAATCTGGAAGTATTCAATGCTCATAAAGTATATATTACATATTTCATTACTCTTATTTAAAAACTATTGAGAATTATAATCTTACTATTTCAAATTTGTTTTATGAGTATTAGTATATAATTTAATGTGAGAAAATTGAAATTTCATAATCTTCAACTGCTCTAAAGTATGTTCCTTTAGGGTATTAAGAAGGAAGAGTCAAATGTGCACATAAAGACGTTTTATAGGTTTCCCTAGGAGTATGGAAAAATAGGGATACATATAATTATCATTGCTGTTTAACACAGTAACAATACTCCAAGCAATGCTATAACAACCTAAAATGAAATAGAAAACATAAAGTTAGAAAAAATTACATAACACACAACTATAATACTAAAGATAAATGAAATTGGCAAATAATAGAAAATCAGTAGAAGACATTAGGAAGTTTGCAAACATTGCAAGTAGATAAGAAAAATTTGAAAGTGTGCTGAAGCAAACTGACACAACAAAAATGTACAGATTACTTAAAAGTAAAGACTGGGGAAAACAGTTCATATTGCAAGATATATTGATTGTTAGAATTTCAGCTCATTAAAGTCATTATGCAAAAAGTGGTCTAAGAAATATTTAGGTAATGTATTTAAGTTGAAGGAGATAATGATTTTTCATGAAATAACAGAAAAAATAAAGAGAATACAAAAGACAAAATATATAAAACAGTAGTTTTCAAATTTTGAAAGAGACATAGTGCAACACGGTAATCTCTCAGATATGTAGACAGATGAAAGGAGCTGTACAGTTATTCCAACAAAAACAGTTTCCAGGGCAGAGACAGGGATGAGGAACCCAGACCGAGCGTGGAAGTCTCTCCGACTTACAGAGTTGGAACTGGTGTGTCAGGCAGCAGAGATGTGTGAAATTTGCATGGCAGAATACGTGAGAAAGACAGCTGCACGAGTGACAACTCTGGAGATTCACAAATGGTTCCAAGTTACATTTTAAACTAAGTACTTATTTATATATGTATGTGAAAAATTAATCAAACTTTATGAAGAAACTACCATAAAAAAATGTAGAAAAACAAAACTTAATCTTCAAATAGTATTTCAAATAAATCATTCCTGTGACCTTGTGTGCAACTTTTGATACACTGAATGTCAGGTAAGT